AATTGCTAAAAATTTAATTGGCCGTTAATTAGTCTTCAATAATTTTTTTTCTCAAATACTATCAACTTTATAGAAAAATTGCAAGAAAAAAATTGTTTATTTTCTTCTCATAAAATTCTAAGAATTTTTCCAGAATTTTTTATCAATTTTTTGATACTGCATTTTCTTAATGGCAATTATTTTTACCAACATGAGAAAATACGGTATTAAAAAATTCTAAAAAAAATTCTCAGAACTTATGAGGAGAAAATAAACAATTTTTATCTCTTGCTGTAAAGTTGTAGTATTTGAGTAAAAAATTAATGGAAACTAATATTCAGCGATTTTTAATAGTTAATACCTTGTTAATTATTGCGAAAATTGCAAAATGGTAGAGAACTTTTCGATTCAATTTAGTCCGCCCCCTATCTGCACAAGAGCGCTTGGCAAACAATTTCGGGACACTCTGTAGGCTTTTGGATTTTTACTTTCATTTGTTATTTTCATATCTAACAGTGTGACAGTTAAAAGCTTCTTTTTGAAAGTATTCATTAAGTTGTTAATTTATGTATGTACGTAATATTCCTTACTAAAAAATTGTTGAAATTTGAACAAATGTAATCGAAGTAAATATCATTATAGAATTATTAGAAATTATTAAAAGTTGAAATTTTTTTTAAAGCAGAATCAATCTGCTTGTTATGTGCTTATGTTTTAATTTAAGTAATGTTCATATTATTTGAATAAAGTCTAAAGAAGAAATCTAAAAAAAGAGATCTTTCACAGTTATTGCGATTGCTTTGCAAACGGTGAATTCTGTCATATGTGCAATTGCAATAATTGCTCGAACAATCTTGGTAACGAGGAAGAACGGCAGCGTGCAATTAAATCCTGTTTGGAACGCAACCCTAACGCCTTCCGGCCTAAAATTGGAAAAGGTCGTGAGACTGGTGAAGATATAAGGAGACATAACAAAGGCTGCAATTGCAAACGTAGTGGTTGTTTAAAAAATTATTGCGAATGTTATGAGGTATTTTGAACTACATAGATATTTAATAAACACTTAAGAGCTTGTAGATATACTTTTTTCTGATTTGCAAAAATGCAGCAAAACGCTTAATTTTAATTTAATTTTCTATCCTTTTATTACATTCTATATATTTCTTCCTGACAATGTGTAACTAACGTATTCACCGGGTATCCGGAAAGTATCCGGTATCTGATATCCGACACTTTGACTATCCAACCGGATATTATTAGTAAAGAAAATTGAAATTTGATATCATTAAATTGTTGATTCTTTCTTACAAATGTTCTCAAAATAAGTATGCACATTCATGATGCTATAATATCTTATATATTGCAAAATTACAATTTTTTCTCTATAGATTTTTTTTTGATACTCGAAACCGATCAGATAACTGGAAAATGTCGGATATGCGAATCGAAAAAATTACCTTTTCAGATATCCGATGATACATTCTATTCAGATATCTGATATCCGGTATCCGAATTTTACGATCCGGTGGATCCCTAGTATTCAATACTGCTTATTTAATATAAAATGTTTAAAGTGCAATTTTTTTACATGTAAAAATTTTAATATTTAAGAGTTTTGGATATATATATATATATATATATATATATATATCTATTTGTAGATAAAGAAATTTAAATATAATTTAAATATAATTTAATTATTTGCCTTTCAGGCAAAAATTCCATGTTCTGGAAATTGTAAGTGTATAGGCTGTCGCAATATTGTCGATCCAATTTTGCAGAAGAAATCTTTAAAAGATCTGGCGGAAACAGCTGAAGTCAAAACAACTAAACTTAGTTTAAATAAGACGCAGTTACAATTATCCGAAATGGCATTTAGGCCACCTGCAACATCTAATACTGGTACAAGGTATGACAAGATATTCTTTATAAATATTGCAATTTTTAAGAACCCTGGAAATAATGATATAGTAGGTATATACAATGAGGAGCAAAAATGAGCTTGTACTTCGCGGCGCGCTCATCTATACTAACGTATGTATGTATTACACTTAAGTACAAGCTCATTTTTGCTTGTTATTGTACGTTTCATAATTTCATATATTTTTATTATATATTTTAAGTTATGTTTATTTTTTATTTATTATAGACAGCCATTCAATTTTCTGACGGAGAAAGTAGTGGAAATAACATGTCAATGTTTAATGGCGCAAGCAGAAGAAGCGGAACGTAATATGCTTGACGACGAGACGTCCCAGCGTCTCATTATTGAGGAATTTGGTCGATGCTTAAAGGAAATCATTGAGTCAGCGCACAAAGCTGAAGCTACTTAGCAGGTGCACGTGCGATATTTGCATTGTAATTTTCATCTATCACTATTGATTATGAGAATTGGATATAAATAAAGATAGTATATATGTGTGTTGGTACCAAAGACATTATATTACACGAGATAAAACATGAGAAGTTTTGGGGAACTTTTTAAATTCACTAAATTATTCTTTAGACGCCTTTCAAAACAAGTCTACGACGAATAATTTCGCATGTGAATTGCTTCCTAATAATATATGGAAATGATATATATGAACTATAAATGAGAGCACCTTCAGTTTTTGACTAAACAAAAAATGTTTTATAATATATATATCAACATAAGATAATGAATATTTTCGTTTTTAAAAATAAGTCATGTTGATTTTTTAATTTTGAATGAGGTAAAAGAAATAACGTCATTTTGACGATAAATGAAAATTTTTTATTTGGTACATATTTTTTCAGGATATAGTAAATGACATGTTGATAAACAAGAAGCGATAGCTGCTCACCTTGCAGTTCAATTGCTTGACCATCATTACCACTTAACAAATATACACAGTGTTCAAAGAAGATGATAAAATATTTCGTGACTTTATCTCGTCAGTCTATCAGTTGCATTTCATATATTTTTAGAAATAAGTCGTTATATTTGCGAAATAATATATATTAGATGCTAAAATTAAAATAATTATGGTAAAAATTTCATTGATTTGCGCCTTTCTTTAGTTTATTTAATCATAGAAAAGTGCCTATAATGGTTTAAATCACAGTTGCTACGGCTTGTATTTTAACTAATAATAGTACAAATATATAAACTTCATTTGTATATTTCAAAATATACTAATGAAACAATATTAGTAATGTTAATGTTATATACAGATATATATATATATATATTACATTAACGTTAGTAATATATGATGTATAACAACTGCGACTTCAGCTTTTATAGGATTTTCTTCCTGTAATTGCATATAAAGAGTCCTATATGTTATATTTACACCATACATCTTATTTAACTGAATATTAGGTGTTTTATATAATAGCACTATAAATATCAAATAAAACTCTACTTTCAGTAAAAGGTACTTCATATGAAGAATTCTATTATCCGTTAATACTCTTAAATTAATCTTAACTCATCCCTAGTTTTTAATGGCTTGTAACTTAGGTTATCGATGATACGATGTTAATTGAAGTAAACAATGTCGTTCTTTTAGACTACAAGAAATGGAAATATGCGATGCTTGAAGCATCTTGTATTATACATATATGTATATGTATATAATTAAAGCCACCTGTATTATATATATATATATATATGTATATATATATTTTTCAAATTAAAATTCTAATTGAAAGTGCAGCTACAGTTTGTATAGAGATATTTATATGCATTCATATTATATTATATGCATTGCGATTAAAATGTACATACATCAAAATAGCCTCCCTTATTTTTTGCCTGCGTCTACAATGAATAATTCTATTTAAATTGCTCTATCAATTTTGAGAAAACGATTCATTTATTATTCTCTTTAATTGTCTCTCCCCTCCCCTCCCTCTCTTTCTGATTTCGTATTTTTTTCTTTCATATCTCTTTTGATATTCAATATTTACATACGGGATACTTTAACATTATTGCGATGCATGTGTAAGTTTGAGTTACTGCAACATGAGTCTGTTGACGGATTACAAAGTGTCAACTCCAAAAATATCAAGTTACAGCATATGAAATTTTTGATTTTAATTATGTATCATATTCTACATATGTGTATATGTACAAATATATAGAATTTTAATAATTTTGCAGTAACTACATATTATATATACTAATAGAACAGCAGCGAAATGTGATTGTAATACTTATGAAATATGATTGTGAGCTTATGTCACAAATTTTTTAATTAAATTATAATCTTTTAAATTAAAATTTGAATATTCAAAATTAAATTATTTTATTTTATAAAATAAGATTTTTTAATAACAATATAAAACAAGCAAATAAGAGTCGATTCTTTAAAATATAAACGTATAAAAATTTTTTAAGTAATTAATATTTTTCAGTGCTGTTAATGTTCTTCGAATATATCTATTTATAATAGCAGACAAATTGCTGTTTTGATACAAATAACTTATGCTATACAATACTCACATAGTAAGAAATGCTCTCCGTAATAATACATATGTACAGTAGAGGATTTTAGTACTTCGTTATATATATAAATGTTGGTTATAATATGGGAGGATTTTTAATGATGGGTCTTACAATGTTACTTAAGCGACTTGTGTAATCATATTTCAAGAAATAAATAGTTTAAAAGAAATTATATTAATATGTATCTTATTTTTATAAATATTCTAAATATTTTAAGTATAATAGTTAAGTATTATGATGTCAATAGACTCTAGAAAATTGAGATATTCAAAATAATATGTATCGTAAGTAAGTCTTACTTAAAAAATATATTATTTATACTGCATATTCGCATGTGTATTATATTTTTACAATTCATATTTACAAGTATTTTACAATTTTATAAATTCATAATTAAAAAATAATTTTTATACATAATCTATACGCTGTGTTCACTTAAAAAATCAGAAATTCTGATTTTATTGCATAAAACAAAATTAACAGTTTTTTTTAAATAAAAATGAATTTTTTTGTAAGTGCATGTAATACTAATAAAAAAGAAAAATAAGATAATATATAAATATATTGTGAAAGAGTACATCGCCTAAAATTTAATTATCTTATTTTTTGGTTTATTACTGTCATATTTCTCTTTTGTATCTTCCTGTAAAGATTCTATGGCAGAATTATCCATTTTTTCCACTGTAATGATATTATCTTCCTTAGCATTCACTAAGTCAGGACAATCCTTTTTTAAGTGTGTCACAGCTCCGCAAATTTTGCAGCAACCACCATGAGGATAAACTCCTTTGGGATTATCAGGACATTGCATAGCAATATGACCTTGCTCACGGCAAATGAAGCACTTAGCGTATCTATAGATGGAATCCTTGTTAACTTTGCATTCAAAGTGGGTGTGTTCTGTTGAACCACATTTAAAACAGATGCCTGTGCAGGCCTCACTGCGATCAAGCTCAGGACAATCAGATAGATTGTGTCCAGATTTGCGACAATTGAAGCAAACAAGTTTTCTGATCCGTGCCAAAGCTTTCTCAGCCTTGCGTCTTTCCAGCTTCATCGCTAAATCCACTTCAGATTTTGGTATACCTAAATAATGATAAGATGTAATACAAATATTATATTTTGGAATTGAAGTGTTTAATATTTTATTATTACTGGTGCAAAATATTTTAATTAAATCTATGGACCCTGAGGTTTAGATTCTTAAGTAAGATTTCTCAATTTCCATATTTAAAATTTTGAAAAAATATATAAAGAAAAATCAAAGTAATTCTTTTAAGTTCCATGAGAATTTTTACATGTTGATGGATATAAATAAGTATATTAAAATTTTTTATAAATTCTTGTAGAATTCAAAACTGTACTATCATATATTAATATGATTGTGTACTTACCCTTCATTATCATTTTTTGTTTAAGTTCTGCCAATCTTTCTGCATCTTCTTTTTTAACAGGAAATCTATCATACATGACAATTTCAGTTTCTACACCATTGATTATTATTTTGGTGACACCAGCATCTGGCTTTCTTCTTTTATATTCTCTCTTTTTCTTAAGTTTTCCTTCTCTTGTGTGTATATTGTTGCCAGAAACATCCTTCTTAAATCTTTTAAACCCATCGTTAGATATTTCTAATTTCCTTTTCTGATTCCGTTTCTGTCGTTTGCTCAATACAACATAATTCGAATGTATATCTTGTGGAGTATTCAATTCTTGTGCAGAATTTTGTTCACTAGATACCGAAATTGTATTATTGATGTCTTGCTTCTTTTTCTTTTTGTTAGAAAATTTAGTTGTCTTCTTATCTGTTTCAATTTTTTCTTCTGTTTTTTGTGATTCTTTTACATTATTTTCAGATGTTACATTATTTTCAGAATTTTTCGCGAAATTTCTTTTTGAATTTGAATTCTTATGTTTTCTTTTATCAGACTTGGATCTATTATCTTCAAATTCTGCCCATTCCTGAATATTTTCATTAGTACTATCATTAAAGAAGTCTTCATGTTCTTTCAATAATTCCTTTGCTGACTTTTTCTTTTCTAAAGATTTATTTTTGTTCTCTTCTATTTGCTGTTTCATTACGTTCCATGGTGTAGCCTCATTTGGTAATCTCTCATTTGAAGCTTTGGATCCTTTTGCTCTTGCAAATCTAGTCATTTTTTTCTTGCACTGGCAAACAAGTATAATTATTTAAGGTTATTTGTTTGAATTTATTAAAGAGCGTTTGAATTTTTCTGAGTTTTAAAATTTTATATATAAATATATATTTAATTCTTAATGATTTTTCTTATCTTATGAATTTTTTGATCTAATTCTTGATTCAATTAATTAAAATATATACTTTGATATTCAAAACCTTGCATTATTAAATTTTTTAATTCTTTTAAATTTATAAAAGTTTTCCATTTTTTAATAAACTTACACAATGCAACATTGCTTTTACTTCAAAGTAATTACATGTTACTCTTAAATATGAATTCATAGATACTTATATTGAATTGACGAATTTGTGTATTGTTAAATTTTGCAATGCAGATATCTATAAATTTTACTAATTATTCAATTGAGCTATCTAGTTTCCAATTTTAATAAAATTATTTAATAAATTATTTGATTGATTTTTGAGATGCTCAGGGCTCATATAATTATCAAAATTATCTCATTAAATTATCAAATTTTAATTCAGCTATGTACAAAATTAATCATCTTGTAAAAATAAATTCCTCCTCGCAATAGATTAATAATGTAAAAACATAAACATTAGTTCGCATTAAAAAATTCAAATTTATTTTCAGAATAAATAAATGTTTTCTTACCAATTCTTTTATCGGAGTACTCGTAATGTATTATATGTTCATATATCTTCACGTGGAAAACTCAAATTAGAGGTTAGGAAACTAGGACTTCTTTCGTGTGTTCCAAAACTACATTATCGATTTATTCATGTTTGAAAAGCGCATGATCAAGTCATCAACTTTTCGAAAATCGAGAGAGATGCACCAATCGTTGCAAAGCTCCAATTTCGCTCGAGAGCTAGTTACATTCCTGACGTTTCTGAACGCATCGTTTATTTTCGTCCCATTTCGCCAACCGCCGGTCGCTCTGATGGAACGGAGCTTGTACGGAGTTGTGCTCGCGTTCGCTTGCAAATGTTTTCTGTGAATAGTTTCTCGTTGGATTATTCTAAGTATTCTCTAATATTCTCGAAAAATGGCGGAGTTTGTGGAGAAACGATGTCAGGACATGATCCCGGAGCTGGAACAAATGGAGAAGCTCAAGCTCTTTGATAAAAAAGAGATTCGGTAAGTGAATATGAATTTAGGTTATGTACGCGTACGTGCTTTTAAGAATCGGATGATCTTCAAATGTTGATTGACGTTTATTATATTTTTAGGAGCATCGCCAAGAAACTCAAAGAATACGAATATAAAATTCAACGACACACAAAAACTAAGGAAGACTATCTTCGATATATACAGTATGAAATGGATCTTCTAAAATTGATCAAGCAACGAAGAGATGTGAGTACTATATTCAAACTCTGTCATATAAAAAATAGGTATATTTTAAGCGATTTGAAACGCACCGGATTGTTGTGTTCACAATTTTACTTGCTGAATTCGAAAATTGTAGTTAATCTTCACTGTGTATACGTTTTTTTAATATTCATTAAGTGTATATGGGAGTCATTCATATCTGGCGCATTTGTTTTAATGGATTAAGTAGTTTAAAAAATATTTAAAAATTCATGTAACTTCCTTAATTAATCCAAATTAAAGATTTATACATAATTTAATAAATCTATTTGTTTATCGCGCGCGCGCATATGTGTGTGTATATATGTAAAATGTAAATATGTGAATATACACATATATACCTATTGGAAAAGATATTAAAAATGTAAAAAAAGACGTCAAGTAAATTTTGCAGAAAAAGATATCAAAAATAATGCTAAAAAAAGAAGTGAAATCAAAATAATATTTCAATATTTATTTTATATCTATTTAAAAAGTCTCATAGAACACTTCTATGGCTTCTCCAAGCGACATTTGGAAGACATCCTTATGTAGATATCCTGTTTATAATTTAAAATAAAAATTGCTAAGTTGTTCGCACTCTGACTTGTCAATAGAATTTTTTATCAACTTTTTAGTACTGCATTTTCTTATTTTTATCAATATGAGAAAATACGGTATTAAAAAATTCAGAAAAAATTTTGAAAAAATTCTTAGAATTTTATGAGAAAAAAATAAACAATTTTTATCTCTTGCAATTTTTCTGTAAAGTTAATAGTATTTGAAAAATTATTGAAGACCAATTTTCGGCAATTTTTAATAATTAATATCTCATTAATTATTGCGAAAATTGCAAAATGGTAAAGGACTTTTTGACTTAGTCCGCTCTACCTGCTCATGAAATATTTGGCGATTATTTTAGAACACCCTGTAGAATAATAACGATAAAAGTAATAATAAAAATAATAGAAAAAAATTCATGACCAAGAATATTATATTATTAAACATCTAACTTCGATCGATCCTAGGTGCTCTCTACTATTTATGTTGTAAAAATAATATTCGAAAATTAAGGAAATTATGATGTTTTTTTAATAAATATAATATTTGTCTCACCATGGCAATTATTGTTACATACTTTTCTGTTCTTTTCCACGTAGGATATAAATATTTTGTATATCGATCAATTTCTATTAATTCATTGTGTTAATTTGCGATCCCTGTGTGCTCCTCAAATCGCCTAAAATGTGTACCAACTCCTTTATAAATATTATATAGATATAAATAATATTATATAGATATAAGTAATTGTATGTACTCCAATATTTTTTTTTTTTTTTTTAGAAATATGGTATCACTCAAAAGAGGTCGGTCATCGATTATGGTATAACTAATAAGATGAATAACTTGTACAAAGAGGCGATATCTAAATTTCAAGATGATATTCGATTTTGGGTTGCTTATATGAAGTTCTGTAAGCATGTGGTAGGTAGCGAAGTAAGTAGATTGTCATTTCATTGTACTTGTATGACTTAATGCATTATTTATTTCCATAGCACTTCCACAGCAATATCAATCATATATTAGGCAGAATGCTGCAAGTACACAGAGATAAGCCAAAATGCTGGCACATAGCAGCGTATTGGGAATTGGAGGAGAATAAGAATAAGCATAGCGCACGGCAGTATCTCCTTAGAGGTTTACAGATTCATCCTAACTCTCAATTGCTATATACTGATGCTTTCAAGTAAGTATAAAGTGTATTTCTCAATAATCTTTTGCAATCTTCTCAATCATTTAGTTAAAATTTCTTTTTATAGACTCGAACTAGACAATCGCTTTGCGACAACTTCTGCTAATGCTGAAAACTCTGAGAAGGAAGGCCACATTGATCCAGTACCGACAACAGATGATAGCGAAATTCCAGTTCCATTGAAAACGGCATTCTTTATATACCAACAGGCTTTTGATCGTATTAAAGATATTAAATTTATAATAGTGTTGCTTAATATCACAAATGAACACGATAACACCAAGCCATTGCAGCTAAAAATCATTTGGTATATATACATATGTGTCATTATAGTAAACATGTTAAATATCATTGATCACGATAGTTAAAAATTGAAGATATAATTTAATTATAGCGATATGATTCGAGAATATGCTCATGAGCCTTTAATGTGGGATACATTGGCGCGTCGTGAATTGCAAGGCTTAGCGCAACCAGTCAGTGACACGGCGACGGAATCGGAGAATGCTGACCAAAAATCTCTGAGGGCTCGCATCACATCGTGCAATGAAGTATACCAGACTGCTATAAAGAAAATCAAAACTGTAGAAATCTGGTCGTTGTACATAGAATGCTTACTGGAAATTAATCGCGATCTGCGATTATTGCCAAATTTGAAAAGAAAACTCTTGAAAACCGCCTTGATGCAGGCTCATCGGGTGAAAAAACTAAAAGAGGAACATTATCTACGCTGGGTTTGTATTCAACATTTCCGTAACATTCATAGTATACACAATTTAGTAATTGTAAATACTTGCTTAAACTTGATTATAATTCATATATCAAAATTTTTTTCTATAAAAATAGTTTCTATATATTTATTTTAAGAATGTCTACTTGAATTTTTTAATAACCATTAAGAGCAGACTTTTTAACGGTTATTGATTATTATCATTAGAATCTATATTTCTTCGATGTTGAATTTTTTACACACAATTAAAATACCTATCAGATTGAAATCTTTTTAATTAAAAAAATGTTTAGAAATAATGAGTAGGCGTTTGTTTCTCTCTTTCTTAAAATATATAATAATGGTTATCGCATTCAGATTGATATATTGAACGCCGATAAGGAATCGAACAAAAACGACGAAGGAATGCGAAAAAAATTGGACGAAGTACTACAAGGAGCGACTGACGTTCTACCAAATAGCGTCGGTATTTGGCATGCGCGGCTTAATCATTTGTTGCAATGTGATTTGGAGAAAGAAGCGTATGCTATATTTCCAGAGGTAACAAATCTTGCAAACTGTCAATATATTTGATCTTGCTGATATTGAGAATTTTATGAATTAGGTGACGGACAAATTTGGCGAGAAAGCGTTACCCTTGTGGAAACTGCGATTCTTGCATGCTCAGCTAAAAAGTTGGGATGAGGTCGAAGAGAGCTATCAAGCGGCTCTAAAGTATCCGTTAATTGCTAAAGATGTTAAGGCTTCATGGCTTGAATGGCTTGTTTTAACGAAAGGTAATCATTAATTACACATTTTTTTTATATTTTGCTCTTGTTATCAAAATTTAATATTATATATTAATATGAGAAATGAAATTTTTCTACGATATCTATATCTATTTTTGCTTTTTCTTAGGCATTCGTGCAGCTCGCAAGGCATATGACGATCTCTACCTTCAACCTCTTACTTCGTTGGAATTCCACAAGAAGATGATCTCGTTAGAGCTCATACAGCCAGAGATCATGTCGAAATACGTGCGACGGCCTTATGAAATGGCGATAATGCACTTCGGGACTCACGACACGTCCATCTGGTTAGATTACATCAAATACGAGATGCAGTACGGAGAACCAAAGAAAGCCAGCGATATTCATGAGCGGGCAGTCAAAACGTTAGATTCTAGCTTAACGTATTCCTTTATTCGAGATTACGGCCTGATCATGGCGAAACCTAATTCCATAAAATAATGCCGATCGTGAGCATGCATTATGTACATATATCAATTAAGCGCGATATGTATGCATTGCGTGTATTGTATACATAAGATTACTGCCCCAACTTGCGTTATTTGTAATTAGTAAAATAATATATTGAGTTTCGATAAATGTTTAAAACATCTGAGATCTTCCATGAAAAGTTACTTTTGAAGGAGACAATTTTTTTATGTATACAGATGTTATTTTTTATATATAAATTCTAATTGCATTTAAGCAAGTTTTATCTACAAGAAATCAAGTTAATTATCAAATAGTATATACTATGGAAGTTATAACGATATGTTGAACTCAATATAAATGTTTCTCTTAGCATTTTTGCTCATAAATCGGTATCAAGATGATCTTTAGGAATTACTTTAGCTAGTATTGTAAACAAATCATTGATTTTTGGTCAAACCGAGCGTATACTTTTATAACCGTTTTCGAGGTAACAAATTCTCTAACATTAGAAATGTTACTTTTGATTGTTTTTTTCTAGTATATCAAATTATGAATTCGACTTTTTATATTATATTTTATATGTTGAAAAGAATTAAACGAGCGTATTTCTTCAATATTAAAAAAATTAAATACATATTTTAAAAATTTACATAAATTTACAAAATAACGTAACGCAACGAATGATTGCAGAAATATATAGTGAAGATATATAGTAAAATGAGATTATTATTGTAATTATCCTCTCATTTCGAATCAGTCTCGTAACATTTTCCCAAATTGATTGAAAGGATGACTTCAATCAAATTTATCTTTTATCTGTATTGTATCTCTATTTTATTGACGTCAATAGAATTTTTGTTGCTTAATATATATTATATATATATATATATATATATATGAAAAAAATTATATTAGGAAAAATATGAATTATACAGTTTTACAGTTAACAATTTTAAGTATCTTTTCCGATTGATATAATTGATATAATTTGATCAAGTACATCTACTTGTTAAGATATCATTTTTAGGATTAAATTATTAATTTTTTGTTTACGTATCGAAAAAAATTACATTAGGAATAATGATAATTATACAATTAAGAAATTTTACTCTAAGCAATTTTGCCGCTTAAATTGATCGCTGATTAAGTTATCTATTATTCTATTATTAAATTATCAAATAAATATTTTGTTAAGAAAGTATTATATTTTATTTTGTTATTCGCAATATGTGAAAAAATTAAAAGAAATAATATAGTTAATTATATAGTTTGAAATGTTATAAAATCTATCAATAATTTAATTAACTGCATGTTAAGTTAATCGAAATTTAGTCTTAGTTTAATCTTTGTATAAACTTCCAATTACTATTTTTCAATATCCAATAGAAAAACATCTTTTAGGAATTCCAGCTAATGATAAACCTTATCCCTGGAAGAAAAATTTTCTATTGGGTCCAATAGCGAACTTTATTATTAACATTTGATTTTATTTGATGAAGAAGAAGGAATTCTAAACAATTATATAAATCGTTAAATTTTGTTTGAATTATCGATCGGATAAAAAATTCGCAAGATAATTGACAATTCAATATGCAACGACAGAGACTCTCTTATCTAGACATGTGAAAGTTTATGCTAGACGACGTGCAGTGGTGAGATGGCAGCACCAAGGAGACCCTGAAGAAGATATATGGAGGTTTTCCCACCAGTCCCACCACCCGAGCTCGCCAGTCGCCATAGAACTCCAGGAATTTGCCTGTGGAGGTGTTCGATGAGATTCGGGTGAGTTGCTTTGGTTGATTTTCTTCGATAGGCGCGAGTCTTGTCGCCAGGATTTGTCCGATGTCGTGGATGCGCGCATGCCACAGGATTTATCACGCGACCGGTCGCCGTCGAAGCGACTGACAGTTTTGCGGTTACGCGGAACAGGACCGACAAGCTTTTCCATCGAGTGTCGTGCAGAGGGTAAAAGATGTATGCGTGCTGACAGTTCGCCCGGATGATCGCACGACCTTGTCGCGACATGTGAGCCTCGCATAGAGTAGTGAAACCGACGTGTCGTTCGACTCGATTCCCGCGATCAGCGATTTGCAGACTCTAATCGCTAGTAGCAACTGCTGACACAGCGAGATCTCAGGATTGTCCTGCAATTCTCTGCTTCTCACAGTGTATTTTCTTTCCCGTAGGTACCTTGGCATCCCTGTCGCTGCAGACAATGCCTGTCTTGCGTGACAGAC